TATAGTTATTAATTGTAAAACAAATGTTTTCATTCATCTAAATTTGAATTATATAAACAAATGAAATTCGACGATTATAAAAAACTTATTACTTCTCTCTCTATTATCTAAATTTATAGTATATTTAGAGATACAGTTTACAAAATATGAATACACATTGCATTATATATATTCACAATTACAAATTACATTTTATTGTAACTGATATTGCTTATTCTAATATACTGCACAGATACGAGGCAAACAGCTACTTTATTCAGGAAATAGTATCATATACAAGCATTGTTTTACATAATATTTATTATTATTTCAAATTCTTGTTTTATTTGCTATTTTTACGACGTTTTGCAATTCACCTCTTCAACGTCATTGTTAGCACAGTTAATTCATTACATAATTATTAATATATAATAATAATAAATCGGCGCATTCCCTTTGTATCGTTTCCAGTAGCATGTAGAAATTTATTGAACCACTCGCATATATTATATTTCACAATCCATCATTCGAGTCGAAAAAAAATTAATTAGTATTATTAAACAATTCTATACTATTATATAACGAATGTATGATCTTTTAATGATTGATACATACAATGATCTCTCAGCGTACAGTGAAACGTAAAAATTCTATGGAAGGAAATGAAACCAGTGTATGATGGCTACTTTCTTTTGTACTTCTTTAAACGCGCGCGCGCAGGCTAGTCTCAAGTACAGATAAGAAATACTAGCGTAAGATAAAATATACATGCCGTGATTTATCTATATTTGTGATAGTTTGTACACATACCCTCGATATTATTACAGACACAAAACCCAACATTAAATTGACACGTGTATTAAAATGTATTCAGCTGTGTAGTATCTTAATAATCATCGTTTATGTATATAAATCGCTATCACTATTGGAGCATGCATTGTGCATACATATCTCTTCATGTATATTGTAGTTACATGTATCCTATTTTCATTGAATCACGCGAAGTTAATTTAAATACAAAAGACATTAGAAGAAAAATATTTATTCTTGATTAAAAAACGCGCAGAACTTAGAAGAATTGCAATAAATTTATCGTTATTTATAGCATACCTTTCCTGCGGGTGACCCCTTGTAAGAATTAAAAAAATGACATTGCAGTTTGATTGTAATATACGAAGAGTCGCCATTAGATTTTTAGGAAACTATAAGGGAATCTTGGATTGATTTTAAAATTTTGTCAACAATGTTTCTTTACCCAATTTTTCCTTAGGGAAATTGAGACTGATTTTATTGATGATATCATTAGTTTTACTTTTCCAATTTTTCTTCTCGAGGTTTTGCACCTCCATAAATGGAACTGGTTTTACTCGATTCGGCCATTGCATTCACAGGTTCTTTAACAGTTCTTGGTTTCAGCTCCAAACGTTTCCTTCCAGAAGTGTCTAAAATAATCATTAAATATAATTAAATAAAAATAATATAGATGTAATAAAATTTGCTTTAGATATATGTAATATAAAATTTGTGGCATATGCATACTATGCCATATCTACATACCTGGAGGGGGAGCATCTTTTTGAAAAGATTCATCAGGGAAGGGTTTTCGATCTGGAGCAGTTGCACGCAATGGAGGTTTATTACTATATGTTCTGGTAGATGCACTTCGTGACCACTCACGATTTCCACCTGTCTCGTCATTGAATTGGCCATAATTGCCTCTATTACTTCTAGAATCCCATCTATCATTACTTGGTCTACTACCTCCTTGTGGGCCTCTATCACTGTATCCTGTATCAATAAAAATATTGGTCACATCAAGTAAAAGATTTAAAACAAACCAAGTTTTGTTTAACAATATAAGAAAGAGAGGAAACTTTTTGAGCATGTAAACATTAGCATTATATTTGCATAATATAAAATTTTTATCAATTAATATACATTCGACTATTACTATCATTTATGTTATGTGTCACTTACTGGAAAATGTAGATTTGCTATCAAAATCATCGCCGTATCCACTACGACCAGAATCTCGTCCTTTAAATCCACTTCCACCACCGCTGCCTCCACGACCTCTCCTGTCGAAGCCACCTCCTCGATCATTTCTCTTTCCTTCTGCTACATCAATCTTAATCAGGCATTTATCTACTTCTACCGCTCCATCCATTTCCAATGCTGCTTCCAGGTCAGCCAGGTCTTCAAACTCGACATAACAGAAGCCTTTAAATCTATAAATAAGATAAAGAATTAAACAATAATGTAATTAATATATATTGATACAACGAATATATTTCTTTTTCCTACAATTAATACTCACTTGTCGGTATCTCTGTCTTTAACCAATCTGATGACTTTGACATTAAGCTTCTCAAAGATTTTGTCGACATCACCTTGTACAATTCCATTTGGCAAATTTCCCACATATGCAGTATATGGAGGTTCTGTCGGTAACGGTTTTCTGCTACGGTGACCACTGGAATAATCTCTGAACATATAAAAAATTTTCATGAACAAAACATTTTACAATCGTTCTATAGGGTGTTTTGTGATATATTCTATAATATACATCTAAATTTATAAATCATTATATCTACAAAGTACAATTACATTCTTTGTTGCATTTAAAATTTAATTTTTCAAAGTTGAAAAAACTCAATAAAGTAGAATATTATTACTTTATTATTTGTACTATAGATTGGAAGGAAAGTAACATTGTTGTTGCTTTTTTACTTGTACCTTTTTTTGTTTCTAATAAATTTAAAGTCCTGTATTGAGAATATGACATTAGTTTTCTTCCAACCTATTATAAATGCGCGTTGGTGCAACTTGTCAAAGTAAATTTGTTAGCGCAGTAGTTAATAAGAAATCAGTTTCTTAATATATCAAGCACATTTGACTGCTTCTATAAAATTACATAGTTTGCTAAATATTCATAAATTATTACACATCCATGAAACAATTCAAATTTTGTAAAGATTTGACAGATCTTGTAAAGGATATGACAGGATATATGTCATGTCATTATTTTCCTATAGTTTTATTTTTGTCAATTGTATGCGTTTAGATTTAAGTCGAAAAGTGTATGAAATAAAATATTAGAATTACAAAAACACGTAAGAGCGTAATTCTTTAAATTAAAATATACAAATGCAGGATAGAGGCTCTTCTCAGTAAACGAGAAATATCAAGCCTCTCATTATTGCGTGCACTAGACTGCTTCACCGAAATTCGCGAATCACAGTGCCGTTGCACACCGTGCCTGATTACAATTGCACGAAAGTCTTCTCCCGCGCGTGCAGCGCACGTGTACCGTCCTCGACTTCGTAGCCTGTTTGCTGTAAATAACTGTCGCGGATCCTAACACGTCGTGTTGACGGTGAAGTTCGACACCGGCCAAAATAAAGCCGCGTGTCGAGAGTATCCCGCAAGGTGTTGCGCCGCACACACTCGCGCGTATATCTCAGCTCACCTTAACCTTAAAATTACGAGATATTCGCGAGAAACACACGCATCTTCGACGGCTAGATGAACCGCTTACACGTCGCGAGCGCACAATTGCCCGAGACTTTTCTGTTGGCATGACACTGCCATAAATACGATTGATACTTGCCTTGAATCGTCGTAACTACCTCGACCAGCCATATTGAATGCACGGAACTGACCGGGACCGCGTGAGTCGAATCAGTCACCGTATGCGCATCATGGCGCTCACGCTGATCATTTATTAGATGAGAAATTTCGAACCTACGCGCGTGAACTAGACGAATTCGACTTGGTGAAACCAGTATAATGACAGGTCTTATAAACCATAGTTTAGGCCTACGTAGACGGACTTGCTTAGCAGCATATAATGCATTGTACACAACAAATGAAAAATCGGACCAATCACGCGGCTAATATACAATACGTAGCAATACGGCTTCCTTCAAATTGGACACGTGATTGGCTGCTATGCGTACTGATGGTACCAATAAAAAAATGCTGTATTTTTTGGACATTTTCAATTGAGATTATATTTTTTTCAATGCTATTCTTTATCAGTGACATTCTTCTCATACAAATATACTGCAACTTTAATTTATAGTTTTCTCTTGTATATTTATACGTAATATTTACATACAAATATTAGTTGGTAACATACATTTATACTCATCACTTATTGCAAAATTTGATTTTATTCTTTAATCTTTTAGTCTTTATAGTTTATAAACTACATAAGTATTTTTTAAATCGAATCAATAGAATTAAATCTGTTAAAAAAATAAATAAGGAGTGAATGAATGAATATACAATATTCTCTTGTACAACATACTTGAGCATTGACTATCTGAGTTATACAACAAAACAAACTAATCTTTATGCAAGTGGAATCAAGACTAGTTTTGTTCTTATCGTTAAGAATATATAATAGTTTCAGTTTGTCATTGTCTACGTTTCATTTTCTTTTTTTTTTTTAGTTGCACATGTAACAGATGTTTTTGCAGGAATTTGTCACTGACTATTCTTATGAAATTAGAAGAGTAACATAAATAATAGTAGTATAATAATTTCAGCGAGAGTTAACATTTAAAATATGTTAGTAACTACTGTAATAGTGTATTGACTATTACAATGTTTTAATTATTATAATAGTTTATCTCTTATAAATACATGAATACATATAATTATTTGCTCTAAATCGTTAGAATCATTTAATTGCATCATTTATATGTATCCTGTAAATCTTGAGATTTATAAAATATTCGCAATGTCGAAATTTATGGCGCGATGTATTTGCTTATTATTATAGCTTAATAACGATAATATATTTCGTTTTTTAGAATTTCCAATCCCATGGCACACAAAGAACACCGTCACTCATAACAGAATAATAATGAGTAACCCAAAGCATAACGCCCTCGAGGGATGGTGCTAGATGTTTTTTGTATAAAAGCAGTCGCTCGCAGCATTGTATCATCAGATCTGGTGTGATGCTATCATCCTTGTTGAGTGCAGTTAAACCTAATTCTTTGATGGTTTTACGATGAAGTTCTCGTTCTACATGCTTTATGCTGCAACAGATATATATATAGGTAATAATAGCATCTGTACTAATCTAAATAATCAGAATGTATTTATTATATCTTTTTATGAAATGTCTTACTTATTATAATGATGTAATCTCTTTGTAGCCTCTTCTAAATTCTCAGTAATGAAATTCACCAAGAGAAAGCTTGGACATGATGATGGCACGATGAATTGTCCAGTCGGCGACAGCATCAATGGACCTGCTTCACTACAATAGAATCATCAAACACATTTATGGAAAGATATTTGCGTATACGAGATGGAATAATCGTCTACGAACGAAGGTATTTATATAGTAATACTAACGCTTCGATGACAATTTCGTAGGCCGATAGACTGTCTGGCCAAGAACTCGGATACTTTCTCTTGCCACGGTAATCTGAGAGTGTAGTCGTGAGTTGTCGTAATTGTCGTTCATACTGGCCGACCATCACTTTAGGCATGAATTTCCTGCACATATAGAGCACCCTGAACCTACATATAACTTGAATAATATGATTTATTACGCACCGTCGACCGACTTTAATATCGAGGAGTACTTGGGACACTGCCTTCTCAAATGCTGGCAATTTCAATAATACAGCGTCGTGATTTCTTACTTTTTATCAAAAGGGTTTAACACACGGAGGCAAATTTTTTGCATTGAAAAAATTGAACAATTTTACAACTTACATCGAGCCAATTGTGCCTGACTTCTCCAGAGTTTAGCATAACATTACCTTCCAGGCTGATACCAGTGTCGTTTGCGAATACGAGAGTCCGATTCTTTAACACCTCCATCGATTCTGGGTGGTGTTCGGCTAAAGCCTGGAAAGCTAATAAACAACCACGATAATGAGCGATATTCCAACCGCAGTCCCATATAATATTCTTTAAACCCAAAATACTGCACAATATCTTCTCCAATTTCTCCACTTCCTCCCTCATTGATCTGCATGCTTCCAACTTAACATGCACCTCATTGATGTGTTTGTCCAAATAAGCCCTAGTAAAAAAACACCAGTAAAAATATTATCAACAATATTATTGATATTATTTTAATGTTGCACATACTTTAACGTATCTGGTTCTGCATTAATCTTTCGTTTCATGATTATCGATGCATAAATGGGATCATCCTCCAATTCTGAGAAATCTATCCTTTCTCCATAATATGCACGTTGCCAAAATCTGGATTTGTACTTTGTGATAGAAGGCTTCTGTTCCTCAATTTTATCGACAAATGTCGTAGGTAGATCGCATGTTTTTAAAATAGATAGTATTGCTTGTCTTAGATCTTTTTCTTTCAATTGTATTTTCACAAGTGTAAATTTACCAGCTCTCACTTCTTTCTCATCTTTAGAGCGCAAGTAAAAGGGTAAAATGGTCGGCCGTATAGGTTGCTTCTGTTGCAGAGTTTCTAAGATTGAACTCAATTGCTTCAAAGAATTCTCATTCACTGTCTGTAAAAAAACAAATTATAATTAATAGAAATATACACATATATAACGTTATACAAACATGAGTCTGCAAATATTGAAAATTGTATATTATTGGAAAGAGAGAGACATTTTTTAATATTTAAATAATTTATTAAAGCTATAAATGTTATTTAACGTTATTCAAAATTGTGATAATAGAATATTAATTTATTATAAGTAAATAAATACAGAATAATGATAAAATTCATTATCAAATAAAAACAGACATGTAATTTTTCAGAAAGTGTTTAGATTCTATCGTTTATCATGCTAGGAATGAATCCTATTGGACTATTTATATCTCTCTTTGTTGATTTTGATAAATATTTTTATCAGAAGTTAGCTAATAGGGGGAGAAAAAATTTCTTTACGATTAAAAGGTTATAACTCGGAAAAAAGCGTAGAATATATACTGATAAAACTGAGTAAACATTTTAAGAACATTTTAAAAGTATAAAAAGAATAGAAAGTTGAAAATAAAAAGACAATATACTTTTAGTTCATCTATTAATTTATTGTTTTAAAAATTCTTTCGGAAAAATGGTATTTATACGCCAGAATATTTCCCATGTTCAAATTCATTATTTTTTTTTTTTTAATTTATATTTAAAATTCACTTTGGATGTGTGATTTATAATTTAAAAAGGAAATCTATTTATAATTTTATATGCTGCATTTTTCCTATATGTTAATATATGAGTATTCTGATTGCATCTTGCTATGTTCTCTATATATTACATTATGTGATACATAAAATTATAAATAGAATTGTTTTGAATTTTATCACGAATTATAAATTATTAAAAGTAGATTTAATCAAAGATAATACATAACGCTTTCTCGCATTTTTCGTTAATTCGATTAATATCCGTTTGGATTAAATTGTTGTGGTTGAAAACTATTATTTATACGCAAGTCGTATTTTAATTATATATACACACAGACGGATTTATCGTAATTAACTGTGTAATTTCCGATCGCGTTAGAAAAGCATATAATTATAAAACATATAAATATAATAAAACAAGATATAACAAGATATATAATAAAACAAGACATATAATATTAATTTTTTATTGCTCTCTCTCTCTCTATTTCATATATTAATAGTTTATACTCGGATATTAAAATTTTGTCAAATTCTCGATACATGTTAGAGAACGTGGCATTAATTTAATGTTCTCGATCCTTATTGTTAGATAAATATTATAACGATATGCATATTAAAACATTTTCACGAAAATATATAAGAAAAAAATGCTCGCTGTTTCTTTCAACCGAATCTTTGTTCTTTTTCAGATGATATAGATGTGAAATATCGACATAGATCACGTGACATTGCAATGTCTCAGCGCGGCCCTGTTCGCACGATCATCTCATTGATAAAGGTGAACAGCTGATTGCCAACGCGTGTGATAGCAGAACATTTATTCGCATAACCTTGCGCGCGCACGTGTGCACGCGTGCAAAGATCATCAAAAACATTTCGTCACAAATGCAACCATTTTCTCGGGTGTCTAAAAATAATATCGCGCGTATAATGTCACGCCACGTTAACTGCACTGCTGATTGATGTTTTATTCGCGTACACACCATGTATATCTTACGCATTTGAAACGAGATATACACGTCGTGACTGATGCGCGTGAGAAAAAGCAAGACAAAAGTGCGCAAACAACACATGCGATAGCAATTGTATTAATTCTGTTTTAATTATACTTTTTGCAAACTATGCATCTTTACTCTCTCTCTCTCTCTCTCTCTTTTTATGTAAACATAGTATTTTACTTTAAGTACAAAGAAGTATACAAGAGCATTATTGTTTTACATTTCAGATGACATATATGTGTATTCAGGAAAACGAAAGGAGAAAGGACAAAGAAAAAATTCAACTAAAGCCGAGTGGACTTCGTCTTATATCGAAAAGATACAAAAGAACTTGTCACTTGTCGCGATCGCTATTTCAAACGTCTCGAACGCGAGATACACTTAGAGTAGCTGTCAGCTGTCAAATTAAAATTCGACAAAATGCTCACCCTTTGTGTGGGATACTGGCCAAAGAGGTCGGGATGAACAGTGAAATAAAAAGGCCTCAGTGCGGTGGAAACTTCGCCGGTGCTCAGGGCCCTTACCGCGTCCCTCCTGCAAAAGCTGTCAAGAAAGAGCTGTCAGTTCCGGAGATCAGGTTGCCATAATTATTATATTATCGCGAAAATTAAAAAGAATCAGGCTTCGAGAAAGTGACTTGTTTCCATTACCATCTCCCGAGCGTCGTACAGTACATTTTTTCGCTCGCCGTTACGGCCGTTACTATCGCAGCTCTCTCATGTCACGGATCTTCCTCTTATTTACAGATATATCTCTGTCCCTCTTTTCTTTCTTCCTTTATTCTTCTTTTCGAACGTTTTATACCCGGGGAAAAAAAATGTCGGGTACAGTACGTTGTCGCGCCTCGATGACCATCAATTGACCGTCATAATGTACTGTCAAAAATACACGACACGTATCGATATGTACTTGCGCTCAACTACTGCGATGATGCGCCTGGATGACCGCTGATAATATACAAAACAATGCGAACGCGACGGTGGTGAACTTGAAAGACTGATCCAATTGTTGGGTACCACACGTCGGTAAGTTAAACTAGCAGAACAGCTGAGTACCATATATACGACGATGGTTTCATCGGAGGCGATTTTGTTCTTCCTAATCCGACATTTATTTCCCTTCCGAGCTCTGTTTCTCAGCTGATTATTAAATAAATAATAATATAACGTGAAATCGGTGATCTCTAGAAGACAACATATAGTTGCTTAAGAGAATTTTCTCTCACAAACAAATAATAGAGAATGAACGAAGTGAGCAATTTACATCTATTGACGTTTCGAAATGTCATTTATCTAACGCAGTCACACAAAGTAAATGAGGCTAGTGCCTACATTCGCGCGTTGAAGGGAGGAAAGAATCCTAATTGAATCCCGAGCTAATCTCTTATCAATCTCGCGTATCCGTATCCGTTGATTGGTATCAATTGATATCGGCGCCCGTTCAGCATTGAACATTGAACCGCGCGCCTGCCAATCGCGCAGACTATCGTATCGGAATAGCGCAATCATATCGGACAACGGCGACTGATTTAACGATAAAGGATGATAAAAAACGTTATTCTGTGCAGTAGCCACGGCTGCCACGCGATCATTACGTCGGCTTATTATCGCGGATCGCGAATACCGCCGCGTCAGTAGAAGACGCGGATCGCACATGAGATACATTTACGCTTCAGTTTGACAGCTGCCGCATCTGCAACTGTCTGCAACGCAGAGCTTCGTTTGTCGTCCAAGAACTACGGATACACGAGAATAAGTTGCGGAATAGATCTCGCATAATTGAATTATTAACGAATAATAGTGAATCAAGTTAGTCCAAGTATCGTTGCGCATCGCTTCCTGTATTTTAATGGTAAATAACCTTGTTACTTCGTTGCAAAATGTCATTAGTCGCCACGTGATTGATCGTGTGCCTCGCAAAATTTTTCACGTTAAGATTCATCCTTATTACGGTATCGTCATCGTGTGAGAAACGACCGATTGATTGATTATTTTTTTCAGTGATATCCTTGTGTTGTTGATGATCGTTGGAGTGACCTATACACATATGTTAAGCGAAATCTCGTATTGCTTTTCCGCTCATATAACGCACAATCTTTGTCCACGTGAGGAACGTGAATAATGCATTTCGTCGTGTTTTTTGCTACGATGCATTTTCTAATAGCATATTTTCTTTGAGCGACATGGAGTGCGACACTTCCCTGTGATTTACGATTGTTATTTCGGATTTATGGATATGATATGATCAATACGTGTAAGTAACACTCTTTTGGATTGTTGTGTCAATATTGTCAGCTATAGTGCGTCGGGATGTGTTGTAATAGTTGTTGCTATTTTACAGAAGAGATAAAACATTTTGAAGACAATTATTAGGGATCCATGTATAATAAATATGTACTGACGTGTTCTGCAGCGTGTGGAATCCTTGTTGGTATCTGTTTACTTCGTCGTTTATTTGGATTGTATTTTTGTCTTTGTAATACAATTTAATATTACAGCTAAGGTGACACTTGGTTTTGTCATGCGGAATAGATCAGTCAGTATAATCTTTGGGTCCCTTGTCTTATGGGCTGTGGCTACATACTTTTTATTTTTGGATCAACAATCAGTTGGCAAGGATCAGGATAAGGTAAAAGACATAAAATACTACAATATGTTAAAATCTATTCTAAGAAAATGTATAGTAATAACTATATATATATTTTCGTCCTTATACTCTTAGGATAAACTGTCAAATCAAATTAGCAGATTGGAAAAACAAGTGAAACAACAGATAATTATAAATCAGGAGCTTCTTGAAGGAATCAATGAGAGTAAACGTCGTAAGAGTAAGCCTAATTTAAAAAAAATTTACGCTATATATATACTACAAAAAATAAATAAAAAACAATATATATGATTTGTTATTTTAGAAGAATATGAAAAATCAAATGCTGCCCAATTACCAATAAATGAAATTGAGACAGACAAGTACAAAAAACAAGGAGTCAACAAATTTGACAGCATTTTGTTGCAAAAGATTGAGAATAACATTGATCAGAGAAAATCTAAAAGTGAACAGAAGCCAACACATGATACCATCTTATCTGTAATATATATAAATTAATCTATATAATAATAATAATCGTACAAAATCATTTTATCAATTTCAATAATATTCATAAATATATGATTTTTATTATATCTTGGAAATGTCTAATTTTCACATTTCTATTTTTCAATAGACAGAGGCAACTCACGAGAGCACTACTCTAAAGCAAAAACTACCTGATGGATCTCCAATAATAGCTGTTTTAGTTGTTTCTTGTAATCGTATTACGGTAGACCGGTGTTTAAACCAATTAATAAAATTAAGACCTAGTAAAGAACAATTCCCAATAGTTGTATCGCAAGACTGTGATCATCGACAAACTGCTGATGTCATAGCAAGATATGGAAACCAGTTACTACATATAAAGGTATATTGCATAATTTATAAGTATATTGTCATACTCATCATATAAGAACTTTTGATTCTATTTCAGTGATAGATTATATGCTTTAACTTATATTCTTCTATGATGAAACTATTACAATCTTTATGATCATTTCAGCAACCTGATCAATCTGATATTGAAATACCACCCAAAGAAAAGAAATTTAGAGGATACTTTAAAATCGCACGTCACTATAAATGGGCGTTAAATCAAGTATTTGTAAAGCTTGGATATAGTACTGCAATTATTGTTGAAGGTTAGATACTATTTGATTAATAGTCAAATCTTTATAAGCATAAAATTTGAACAAATATTTTATATAACAAACATGATAAATCTCCATGAGATAATATTTGGATGAGATTAATTTATTTATGTGTTTTTCATATAGATGACTTGGACATTGCTCCAGACTTTTATGAGTACTTCCTGGGGACTTATCCCCTATTAGTAAATGATAGCTCTCTATGGTGTGTGTCTGCGTGGAATGATAATGGTAAAGCTGGCTTGGTGGATGAGCATGCGCCACATTTACTTTATAGGACAGATTTCTTTCCTGGCTTGGGTTGGATGCTCACGCGCGATTTATGGTTGGAGCTTGCATCAAAATGGCCAAAATCGTGAGTATAATTTTATTGTATATACACATATATTTATTTTTACTTATGGTTAAGTTATTTATCATTGATATATTCTTGATAATGCGCTCACCTTTCTGATATATTTTTTGTTTATGTACAGATATTGGGATGATTGGATAAGGCAGCCTGAACAGCGAAAGAATAGAGCTTGCATCCGCCCGGAAATATCGCGAACCAGGACATTTGGCAAACTCGGAGTTAGCAAGTAATTATCTTATGTATTTTTCATTTTCTTTATATATTATATTTTCATTTAAAAAAACACTACCATACAGATATACCAATCTTATAATTTGAGACTAATTAGTATAATTTGAGTAAATTGTATGGACACTACAAAATTTGTTTTATTTCTAGTGGCTTATTCTTTGAAAAACATTTAAAATACATCAAGCTGAATGAACAATTTGTGCCTTTCACCAAGATGAATCTATCCTACTTGCTAAAAGTAAGGAAGCGAGTATTAAATTTGCATGTATAAATTATTGTATATTGAATAAAAAAAGTGCATGTATAAATTATTATATAATTCCCACAGGATAATTACGATATAGCTTTCGTCAACCAAGTATACCAGTCAACAGTGGTTAGCTATACAGAATTGAAGAGTGGAAACATAGTTGCTCCTGGTCCAGTACGGATACCTTATTACACTCGTCAATCGTTTAAAAATACCACCAAACTGCTTGGTTTAATGGACGATTTCAGGGTAATATATCTTTTTAATTAGGATTCATATTTCATTTTAAAAGATATTCGAAATTCTGTAATTTCTTTGACATTACAGAGCGGTGTACCTAGATCTGGATATCGTGGCGTGGTGACATTTTTCTATAATGGGAGGCGTGTGCATTTAGCACCAAGTGCAAACTGGAGTGGTTACGATATTACATGGAGCTAACACATGATAATGCTTTACAGAGACTTGTAGATTGCATAAGAATATTGTGCATTTCTTCTTTCATATTCGACAGATTAAGTGAATATATTGGTTGAGATTAAGTGACAATGAAATATGTATTTATGACTATGACGTACTGCTGTATATTCCTCAGAATTATAACCGGTATTACATTTTTCGTGAGACCGGTTTTAAATGATCTTTCTTGCAGAAAATGTGACATATTTCAATAGTATATATATATATAATGGTATATATATATATATAACGTATATATATGTATTTTTCAAAAATTACATCCATTGTTTTTTGAATGACTGATAAAGAGAATTATTGTCAATGTAAAATGGATCATGCCTCATGTATATAAAATGCCGCAGTAATATTGACAAAGCAATACTATTTTGATTAGTTACTAGGCATCTTCCAAAACGAGAATGTGTTGATATATTTTTGCTCCTTTTATGACGATTAGTTTTGTTATAAAGTTATGTGACATAAAGTAATGAAATAATTTTATCGAAAAACTCAATCAAATTCTATCTCCTTATCTCTCTTTCTTATCCTGTTATCCCTAAGCTATATATTCACTTTGTCTGTCCTATAATCTGCCTTAACTTAATTTAAACCGATTTTTATATATACAATGCTTAAAATCTGACTAAATGCAAAAATAATTTTTAAAATATAATATTAATATAAATTTCTGTCATAATATATTTATATTTTAATATTTGGGTAATTATATTAGTTTTTTGTGATTATAAATGTTTATATATATAATTGAGGAAACAAGCAAAAATAGTATATTATAGTGCTCTATATTTATATTTGTACAAGGTATAACAACAATAATCAAGCGCCTTATCACTTATATATTTTGTTGTTCACAAATTTATATTCACAAGATATTATACAATAGCAAATTCTATTCATTTCATTTGAAACAAACGTTTCTACAGCATTCGGAAGCGTACTGCAAATCGCATACGCTCGATTCCTTAATAATAATTATCTAATTATTTGATGAATCTTGCGAATATAACTTTTACAGCGCGACCAAAGTACTAATGATATCTATCAAGAGATTTAAGATTTATACCAAAAGCGATTGCTGTATTTCGACTTCTCACGTGGTATGTCAGCTGATAGTCCAGGAGTTGGATCTGGATATGTTATAGGCTCATCCCTCGGCGGTGGTCGCGGTCTCGATGTATCGTGCACTTTGGCCTCGCAAAAGTATCCAAAAGGTGGACGTTCTATATTCATATTTTTAAGAACGCAGTCGTCCAAAGCAGCTTGTGTTTTCCGGCATCTAAGTGACATTTATGTTATATCGTTATATTATCATGAACAAAAAGAGACTTAACATAGTTTCTCCTTTTCACAACATGCAAACATAGTAGAATATAAAATAACGTACGGAGTCAACTCCAGTGTTCCCGTTGATCTCTCGAGACAATACATGTACGCATTAAAATCTTCCAGGCAGTTCTTCTTCATTTTTTTAAGAACATCCAGTGCACAAGCAGTCACATTTTTCCCCTCATTGAGGCAACGACGTGGATCACCTTCTTCTTCTCTACATAACATAAATTCCTGAAGAAGAGACAAGTTTTTCATAATGAGGTGACGATATATTTTCAATATACTTTTTAAATTGCAAAAATAATTCTATAACTTCAAAAATTGGATTTTTTAAATCAGATATGATTATTTATATATATTCACAGAATAATTTATATTGCGCATTGCACATGATATTAAATCCAACTGTATATATAATTTGTGATTATTATAATTTGTGAAACTTAATTTATATATAAATTATATATTATTTCCAGAAATATATCGAAACTAGCAATCGAAGAAACGGAATATTTCGAAGAGAAGAGAGGAATCGCATGTAGATGAAATTACTATTTACATGTCAAACGTTACTGCAGGAACTTGGAACATTATGTAAGCCTTCGGAGAGATGACTAGACAAGCGGATAAATGTAAATATCGTTGCGAGATTCGGTCATTAGGTAACTCACATTGTTGTACCATTCGCAGGCCTTGCCGATATAAACGGATGCGGTTTGCAGCACCGGCCAGCTAACATTCAGCTCCTGAACGTTTAGCTCGCTCTCCTCGGGCAGTACGGTCTTCGCCGTCGCAGCCATATTTCCTTATAGCAGCTCTCCGCCGAGGTGGCTTGTCATTCGCGACGTCAGTCACCGATCGTACGAGACGTCTCGATCGACGAAACTTCTCGACGTGATTTTTTCAATACGAAATCGCAAAATGCATTACACGCACATAAACACGATCCAGGAACGTAAAGGTAACCTAACATCGAGTGCAGTTTCGCGCGGAGATCGATATCGTCGTGACCATTCGATTTCGATTCTTGTGACTTATCGATACTCGCTTCGATTATTCAAAAAAATGGGAAAAGTGCACCGCACGCGCATCAAGCGTCACGAGGCAAGGTATCGCAGGAAAATTTATTATTGGAAGGTATTTATGAATAGCGATAAATTATAATTGTACTCAAATTAAATAGAGGATACGGTAATATGACTTTTCATCATCCATTTTAATTGAAGACAATCGTAGTCGATTGAAATTTTAAGACAAAATGCTTGAGTTGTGAGAGAGAAGAATAGACGTTAATTCAAACGTATTTTGTACGAGACTGATTTTTTTTATTAAATAATTAGATATATGTGTAATTTTATGGATGGGATGGTATTAATGTATTAATAACAATATATATGCTTCTTTTTTATTACAGTATTATTATCAGTCGTACCGTCTCCTGTAACCACAATAACATTTATATTACATCATATATAACCTCAATACGCTTTAATGCGTTACACACATACACACACTTAACATTATATATAATATTGTACATACATTCACGCTTATTATAATATTACAGTATTCTCTCTTCTAAAAAAAAGATATTGTTTCTCGTAATTACAATTGACTATGTTGTCGTATATATAATCGAATACATCATTGATGAAGCGTCAACGAAAGCACGAAGCTCTTTATTATTTTTATTGTAGCACACTGTAGAAAGTCTATTATCTTATCTTCGCTGCCTTTTTCACACGATCGGTGAAATAGATTTTAGAGAAGCATTGTGTTTTCTCATTCATTATCATATTTAAAAACGACGTTGCATTAATATCTCTTATAGAGTACATTCATAAAGTCTCATATCTATATATATATCTATATACGTTCTTATCAATAAAAATGAGGGATTGCACATTAAATTACCTTTAAACTTTTATTACAATAAATCTTATCGACTATATTCCTTTTGATGCATATGGTTCTTTTTGAAGAAATTTACTGATCGCTTTGCGCGTCGTTCGATATATTTTTTTGTTGTCTCTTTTTTTGCACACATATAATACATAGTATTACCCTGTATGGTACTCGATATATTCCGATAGATGCATTTCGTCAAAACAAACAAGGGACAGTATAGTCTGATACTCTGTGTAACATAAAAGCGATATCGATTATATAGCGAGAGACGCGGGATTTGTTCGAGAGACATTTATCTATCTAATACTTAATCTCTCTCGATGTCGGCAACATGTAAGTTGTATGTGTATTAGTAATATACCATTCACACACATGTACGATGCATAAAGCACGTTGTAATGAACACATTGAACAAGCTTTATCTAGACATCCATTCCGATAATAATCTTTTGTGTATTTTTCGTATAATTTCGTCTCGTCACACACGAAAATAAGTACAGTAAACAATTTAAAATTGACCAACGACCTGTATAAGATTTTAACTCGCATACGTGACAAAATTATCTTCTAAGATCTAAGATAAATTGATAATAAGATAAAAACGACAGTATTTTTGAAAAATCTTTTTTATTTTCGTCACAGGCTTCTATATATATACTAGACTGCTGACAGCGATGTGACAGGTGAAGTCAGGACAACCATTTACAATTGAGTAGAATATAACCAGGCTGTCAATCAATATTTGTTTTTGAAGGGAAAGTTGCAATATTAATATAAAGGTTTTGTATATATTTAATATAAAAGTTATATTAAATATTTCCCTTCAAAAATAAATATTGATTGACAGCCTGATTCTATTCTGTTCAATAAATGGCTGCCTGTCACATCGCTGTTAGCAGTCTAGATATAATATAGAAATCTGTGGTTTTCCTTCAAATAGTGAAGGAAATTATGCGGCTTTTATTTGAAAAATACACAATATAGGTAATATTCTTTTCTCTATCTAGAGTAGGCATGTATAATATTACATTTTTAAAGCAGATATGAGGAAAAATAAATCGGTATCGCGAAAGATCTGAACAATTTAAGATCCGAAATTCAAATTGTTCGAAAATTAGCGAACAAAATTTTAAGCATTATTTCGGATATAGAAAGCAAAAGAAAAATAATGCATCCGCGCGCGAAAAGAATAGTTCTAATAAAGGTATCGCTTAGTATGATACGATTAATATCGATTTTACACGCGAGATATTGAGACTCGTTGTCGCAGGGACAACAAGAGTTACATACATGCGCGGATATGTATACTTGTTTATGATGTCGATGCCACCTTTCAGTTTCCGTCGTCGAAACGACATTTTAGAACTCGGAATGAGGTCGTCTGGCCAGCCAGTCGGCGATTGCGGAAATTTCGTGCACTCGTTTCTTCAAGCCGCGTAATGCCGGATAATTCTCTAAAGCGGTTGCACCGAAAATGTTCTCAAAGTTTTCCAACGCCACCGTGAACACAAAGTCCGCCCACGTAGTCTGAAAAGCACCACGTGATTGTGTTGCACACAGAAAGCTTTAATTTAACGCATTCATGTTCCAGTTTTTATTTCATTTTATTAGACATTTTAGTGACAGGACATTGAATTGCATGACAAGTAATATTTAACTTTAATACATTCTGTCTACTAAATCCTAGAATTAATTTAATATTTAATAAAAAATAGAGATTTTTTTTTGTGTGTGAAACAACAAAATTGTTACTTGAGAAATTTGAGATTCTCTTTACCGTAGAGCCGACCGCGTAACCACCGTTCTCGGCGACCGTTTGTTCGAATTTATTCAGGTAAAACGGTATCGTTTCCTTCAGTAGTTTCGCCTTCTTCTCCTCCTTCTTAAAGAGATCCTCCTCCGTACGATATTGAAAAATGACTGAAAAACAGATCATGCGCAAGCTTTGATGACTTTCTCTCTTTCTGTCTCTCATATGACAAATTATATTGTTAAAACCACGATTAAAACATAACATATCTATATCTCCGCGAATTCCGTATAATGCGTAAAAGCCGCTCATTGATCTAAATGCTAACTCAAACGAAGAAGATAACGTGCCAATCCGTGACGGAATGCTACAATGTCTCATTAAGCGTTTAATCGATCCCGCAATATTATTGTGTTGTATTACATTGACGATGAGATTCGATGCGATATACGTATATGTGCGCGTCAGATTTCACGAGGAGCTTTTCCAGGACGATAGCGCTCGCTCGATTATACAGTGACCTCGGCTTGGAAATAGGTCACGCGGGAGACGCGTGTCTTTCAGAGGAGCGAAAAGCGGAACAACTTTCGCGCCCGTCAGAGTTTTCCGAGATTTATAGCATGGACCGCGCGCGCGTCGCGCATATTTTTTTTTTTTTCCTCTCCCTATCTCGAGGTCTTTCTCGAGGAGGATTCCATTTTCGACGTCGGGAAATTGGAACAAGACGGAAAGCTCGGGCATCATCGACAACGTTTATTGATCGATGCTCGCGCGAACTTGCCCGATGAAACTGAAATTGCATAGCGAGAGATGTAAAACTTTCGTCATTGACGATCCTTCGGGAAAAACGGGACGCCTGAGGCAAATTCGTAACCGAAAAGAAAGTATCGATTCGCTACCGGGTGAAACGTTGACATCGTAAGCAATTTTTCGTATCGAAATCGTCGTATCGAACACTACATCGGTATCACTTACATTGTTTCAGATCTCCAAGAGTATCGACGAGCACGTCGCAGAGCATCGATTCCCACTCGTCTTTGCCGGCAAGATTATGCTCACGGGCCAGGTAACGTGCCACGGCGTTACTTTGCGCTATCGGCTTACCGTTGATTTCCAGAACTGGCAGCATCCCGTAAGGCATCGCTGAGAACAAGAGAAAGCAATCGACTGATCGTGCTTAACAACAATAAGTTCACATTTGCCAATGAAGGAGAGAGAGATAGAACAATTTGTCTTCGCTCAAGATATCGATTACGATGTTATTGTACACATGTCTGATTAATTGTAGGTGTAAATTACGATCAGTTGTGTAAGAATTAATTCTTGATATATTAAGCACAAATCGAATATCTTCTTTTTTACCATACTTGAAATTTTTATTTAATTTGAATTTAATTAATCAATAATAAATGATAAAAGTAGAGGATTCAACGCATCTTACAATTGAAGTGAGATTTTGATTCGCATTTAAACATATTTATATATTGCGCGTGAACAAATTGTATTTGCACATATCGCTATTAATTTAACCGACATTAAATTTTTTTGCATTAAACTATTTTTTTACACTTACATTTTTTAAGCTCAGGCCAGCAATCGTTGGTGATTCTCTCGTCAATATAATCGATGCCCGCGTAAGCGAATATGTAGCGAATATGCTCGGCACGACCTCGTGCATTAAAGTAGATCAATTTGTACCTCGGCTGCTCCTCAGCCATCTTCCTCGATCGCGATCTGAAAACTTTCCAAGGTATCGAAAAAGTTTTATATGCAATTTCGAGGCTAACCGCTGTTATTTGCCTATTTTGAGGCTACAAGAAATAATCTTGTTATTGTCAGACAAGGATAATAAATCCTGCATAATGCGGCAACATCCTAGTCGGCAAATTTGATTTTGATATTGAGTATTTGGACGATGAAACTCGAGCAGGGAAATAGTGGCATGATCCGTTTTTCGTATGTCGTTCCTCGAAATACGATTATTCTTCTCGAACGGGCGATTGGCGATTATCAGACCGTACGATTAATTAATTCTATCATATTAAAAATATGTGTAATAATATATTTTATAATTTGTTTTATTATTAAGAGAAAAGACTTTTGTAAAGACGGGACGAATCGATCGGCGCTCGTTTCTTGGGGCATACCTATATTACATATTTATTTTTACAGATGTGAAACCCTCCCATTTTGGGTACACCTTGACGTCGGTGGGAGGGCTTGGTACCCGAAAGGAATTTATCCTGAAGGAGAAGCCAAGTACCCAAACGGTTTTTTATGAGACGCGTTTTATTGATATCCCCTTTTGCATTTCTCATTAACGCTCTTTTTCTGGTGTCGATCTGCGAAACGGGATATTAATTCGTTTATTCGCAAAAAGTCGAGATTTATCAGAAAATAAATTAAACATCTGATTTCCGAAAACGAATTCTTTGTTTTTTTCAATCAATTTAAATTTCGGGAGTGCCGTATAAAGTATCGCGCGTCTGTTTTTATCGTACCGCGGACGGTTTGTCTCGTCTTAATTATAGTTCGGGAGTGTCGTGAAAAGCATCGCGCATCGGTTAATTAAATTGGGAGTGCCGTGAAAAATATCGCGCGTCGCTTAATTAGTTCGGGAGTGCCGTGAAAAGTGTCGCGCGTTCATTTTCAGCATGTCGCGGACGATACGTGCAATTACATTATTAACATTAACATTTGTACCGTATTTTCGCGAGAGAGTACAGTGCCTGACGTATCCTGAAGAACAACCTGTGAGGAAGGGAAGGTTTAGGAGGCATCGGACGACGGCGGAACAACTTTGGGGTGAGTATGATTTATTATTTATATATTATCGTTTATTAATCGCGTGTACATGCGGCTATTTCCGCATATTTTATTTGGCTCGTTTATTTTGGATGATTTAAACATGATTTCAAAAAAGAGACTTTTATATATGATCTTCTATAAAAGCGAATACTTGAAAAAATTTTTTTCTTTTGAAAATTATTAAATAATTATTCCATTAAATATCTGCTTATTATTGTACCCATCGAATTTTCTATTTTCTAATTAACAATCTCATAATTTGTTCAATATAAATTATTTTGAGCGCAATTATAATTTGAATTTTATATTTGTATGTTACAGATCAACATAGAGTCTGCATAATTAACTCCGCTGCTGCGCATCGACCGGTGAGTGAAACTTTTATTTTATGATAAAAAAAAACACCAAATACATAGAAGCATGTGTTTTAATTTCTTGTTTTTTTGAACTTTTATATTGCATAAAAGTTTGGATATTTTTTTATGTATTTGACGTATATTTTTTATCCTTTTTTTAAATATACTATTTTGTTGTAGTACCTTTTTGAAATTTTTAAATTAAGCTTCTAAATAATATATAAAATTTTCAACCGAGCGCAATCGGAATCTGTGATTTTTCTCACTTTTTTTGTAATTTCAAAGATAAAAATAATTTTCCTAAAAAGTTAGTTTCACAGTTGCAATACTATATTTCATTACAGTCGTATTGCCAGTTTTCATTCGAAAACTTGATCGTACCAAAACGAAAACGCTCGTATCTTTGTGGGTGATCTATACGATAATTCGCGATCATTTATAAATCTCTCTCGGTCGTTCCGTGAGATGCTATGATCTATTTGGAGTATCTTCACCGCAGGTGGTCGACTTGTTTCGCAAGAATAACGCGAGGGTTGCGTGATTACACGCGTGAACGGAGCTAGTTTTATCAAGTTTCGAGGATCGGAGTTCATCCGAAATGTAGATAAGCCAAAACATAACTGGCAAACGCGAGCGTAGAGTATAGCTGGATACTATTCCGAGCTTTCTTGAAAATCGCAGAATTCTGTACTCCACACATACATACACGTGTCTACACGCATATACGCATATACGCATATAGTATCTAAGCGTTATTAACCCGCATTACATGTGGATATATTTCGCGTACCAGTTATATATGTTATCATCTCTAAAAAAATTCGATGAATTTCAATTATTAACAGAATCAATTTATTAACAGAATTTTTTAATTCACTTTAACGCGATAGTAACAGCAGATACGGCAAATCAAAATTGAGGCATAATTATATAATGTGATATTTCCCGAGTTTAATTCAATTTCAAAATGAGACTACATAATTCATTTTACATGTAAGTCAAGCGGAGGCCTGGCTTAAGATGAGGCGCTAAGCAAACCGCGGTTTTGCGTGTTAACAAACTCGAAATGAGAAAACTTTATAAGTTTGCCGGTCAAACAAATAAGCAACGACGATGTACTCGTGGTATATATTTCCGTTGGGAAATCTAGGCGATAATTATTTGGTAGTTCCATTTTAATTGCATCTGTTTGTGCATTGGCAGAAAATGATCGCTCCTAGACGGACGGAAGAAATTTATAAAATTTATTTCTGAGATTATATTTCTGAATGAAAAATTGCAGATTGCGTGGATTATTATATAATAATAAAATAATTCTATTTGATGAAGCGCAGATATTGAATCTACTTTGGAAAGTGCGTTTTCTCGCGGTTCAGAAACTATCCGATCTGATAACTTTTGATTATATAACTGAAAGGCCGCTCGAGAGCGATTGGAAAAGATTTTATTTCTTTCGCACGCGTAAATCATTTATATGACCATAAAGGAAGAATCTCGAGAGAGAGATCATGTGAGAAATTTTATTTTATATTTGTAACATTAAAAATTATAAAGATTTTTTATCAAAACATTGAATGTTTAGATGGCAGGCTTTGATATATTGTAGAATTTTTCCGTTTCTCGATATTTATTATATTTCCGTTTTCATTGATCAAATTTAATCTTCTAATAACAAGAGAGTTTCGCAAAGAGCGGATCTCTCTCTAATTAACAGTCGAGACTGTTTCGGTGTTGGGGATACATATATATACATAGACGACATTTATTGATTATTGCTCGGAAAATATACTTGGTGCCCGATGGTTTCTCCGATAGAGAAGTATGTGACGGACAATATTGCTGCATGAGATATACAACATGCCAATTGCAACGGATGCAATTCACTGTGTTAATTCGTCAGGTGCATTAAATATGTACGAATCAAGCGAATGTAAACTATAGATATCGCGGATCAAATCTTATATTCCATCCCGTATGCATCTGATTCCCCATCTTCAATCTATATACATTTGTTCTTTCTTTTTCCTTTTTTTAAATTATAGATACATGATATATCACAAATTAGTTTTTTATTGAAAAAAATATATAAGAATGTGTCTGTAACAAAAATATTTTTATATGATTTTTAATGTACTTTTAACTGTTTCTTGCATTTATTATCGTGACGGATGGCGAATGTTGTAAAGTCGCATTGTTCAACCTGTTGAGGTAAATTTGATTGAAATCGAATGAGTGTTTCTATTATATCTTTGTACTATTGCGCGATTACGTTATCCAGATTTAACCGAAATTGTCGACTGTTTAACATGATTACGTGCACAGGCGGACACCGAGTCGAATGTCAGCGTAGATTGTGCCAATAACTGGACTCTGCTAATCAAATTTGACGGTAAAATCGATGTCTCGTACCTGCGAAAGCATTTATTCAGCGCGTATGGGCGGACAACTGGAAGATATAAGGTATAAGGGGTGAAAGAGTATTAATGTTGACACTGCGAATCCTCAGCACAAAACCTGTTCTCTCCTTGTCTCACGGAATAAGGATTCGCAATGCTAAAAGTTTGCCTCCGCCACTTCTGGTGGCAGATTCATTAGTCATTTCGTGCCATCTTCAACACAAATATTCGAGTTTTGGATGAAAGCGAGATTATGAAAAGCCCTCCGCAAAGCATATGCCTTGTTATCTCGAGAATATCGATTTGACACGATATCCTTATTTTTTTTTACGATAAGCCTTATTTAAAAGATCTTTTTAATGAGACAATTATATATTGTTGAAAAATTTATCACGATATATTTGATAAAAACATAGGACTATTTATTTTTGCGAATTGAAATTTCTATGATACTTTTAGCGTATTATTTTATACATTCAATATTTATATGGTAGATAAGACACACCATACTAAATAAAAAAACCTTAGTAAACATAGGTCGAAAGCTCAATTGTTTCTGAGATATAAACATTTTTGTATGTTAGTATGTTTTGTATGTTATGTTTTTCATAATTGACTTACTGGCTTCTACGTGTCGTACGCGATGTTTATCTCATTATTTATAAACCGCGTTTTTAATGTCCTCATTCAATTTCCATACATACTTCATAACAGAAAGTTTCACCGGCAATCAGTCAGTTGTCATCAACCGGCGCTTGCGGATCTTTGCGATTTGGTGATTACACAGTTACAAAATGTTTACTAAGATCTTTTTACTCAGTATGGTGTGTCATATCTATAAATATTGAATGGTTTTTTTGAACACCCTGTATATATTCTCTTGATTAATAAATTAATCCTTTCTAATTGTGTTCGAACACATTAATCACATAATTGTTGATGGCATTCTCTTTTTATTTATATTTTACGATTAAACAACGTATAACTCGTTATTTTTCTGAAGAACTTCTTAAGTAGATTAAAGCCGTATCGTCTTTCGTTTTTCTTTCGCTCTCGAGCGGAACGTTATTATAAGTCTTTCCGATATTACGCCAATTTTCCTCGAGAAAAAATAAATCTTAATTTTGTGTGTGTTGAAATATCTCTTATTAAATCAACCAGGACTTCAGAACCCCCTGGATTCGTCGGATATGCATTTTCCTCTCTTTGTATATCGCATAATATTAGTATCGTCGAAAATGATGGGGACATTATTGGTTTTCATATTTCTGAAAGACATCGTGTATTGTTGAGTGAATCATGCTACGTAATATTTCTCATTCTCTTCCAGATGCAATCTGTGTGATAACGTGATAAAATACGAAACGTGTTCGTGAATTGTAATCCTTGCGGAAATGGAAAGTACAGTTGACGCGAAAACAGAGATATTTTGGTACTTGGTATATTTCGGCGAAGCAAGATTCTCTTGATATGGAGATCGCTAGTCTACTTGGCGCGATGCCACATTCGATATAGAGGATTTTATAAGGATCGGGCAAAAAAATATAGTGAAGACGGGTAAAGACATTAAATATGACCTCCTTTTTCTTCCCCCTTTTTCATGGTTATCGTATAACTTTTTCTTTTTTGATTCTTATTGTATCGAAATAAAGGCAACTTTACCAATATACTTTTCTACCTCAGAAAACCCATTATTCTTAAAATTGAAACTTGAAATTCGAGGACTTGAAATAAAAGTAATGAGTAAACGTTTTATTAATAAAAACGCTTTTTATATACACAAGAATTGAACGTTTAAACATCGGATTAAAAATGGATTAAGAGAAATAAAAGATAATATGCGATATGTACATACAATCAGAAGCATTAATTCCGGTGAACCAACATTTACAAAAAGATTTTAAAATATACGATTTACCGATTCTTTTTATTTCTTCACAAAATAAATAGTTAAATTATATTATTTTTTATATAGTTTCTCAAATATTGCAGAACAAGAGAGAGAGGGAGAGAGAGATATTTGAGTTAAAGGGATGAATAAAAGAGACGATATTAATGCTTCTGATTATATATGTAAAAAAGGATTGCATATAAAAGAGATATGCTATAACTCTGTCACTGGATTTAGGCCGATCTGAAAAGTTGATGTTCTATACGAAGAGATGGGAAAATGATGCATGATAAATTTATGAACTTATTGATCCGTAAAACTAAATGGAATTTAAATGGAATTGGATTTAAGAGATATATAAAAAAGAGATGACATGAATCTAATGCTCAGGTCACAATAATATAATATTAGGTGTGTTAGTAACGATGATACAACCACGATAATTTCTCATGTAAAAATAAATCGAAAACGAAATTAGAAAAAAATTTTTTTTTTTTATAGGACACTTTGTTTTCGAGGAAGTTGATTTTGAACATGCATTCTCAGTTGCTATATCATCGTGTTATTTTTATGAAGGCCGATAAGCAAAAGAACTGCATAGATTAGATTGAAAATAAAACATATGTTGCCAATATTTACAAATATAGAAATTAAGTAGAGATATCAGTCTGTACAGAGATATCAAATTGATTCTTAGACAAGTACAAGTGTATTCGACGAATAGCCAAGATCGATTTTCTCGAGAGACTGAAGTCTCGTATAAAAAAATTTCTTTCTACACTTTTGATTTATTTTTGCACGAGAAATCACCTCATTCACGATTTTACCGTGTTTGTTACTATCGTATATAATCACACTTATATACAGGATATCATAAAACCATTGAATGTTCCTTTCAGCAGATTTTTCTGGTCAATTTAAAGATGATCTTTCCTTAGCAAAAATGTCGAGGCATCGTCAATAATTCCTGAGTTATAAGCGATTGCAGAAGAAGGACTTCTCGCAAACTAAACTTTGTAGAGTGTTGAAAGGTTAACAAAATTATATTCTTCAGTTAATTAGAAATGAAGTTTACTTTGCTTAGTTCGAAAGATATTCGATGAAAAAAATGGGAAATTTGCACAAAATTACGATCTTCTTTGACATTTTCTCTAAGGAAAAATCAAATTTAGATTGCCGGAGAATATATGCTAAGGACAGATTTCAGGATACTCTATATATATTAATCATTTATATATCTGCTTAGTTAATTAATGCCTTTTATATATTTATACCCGCGTCGAACGTAGCTTTACCACACATTTTGCATATTTCGCGCTTTGAGGCGAACGTGTAATTTCGCAATTGATAGTTGAACAAAAAATCATTTGCATTACCGCGTTATCAATCTTAGCGGCGGCGTCTATGAACAGATATATGCGGGCAAGGATTATATTGTAATCACTCGACTCATGACGCGACGATTTATCGCATCGGCGAATCTCCGACTCACCCCGCACACCCTCGTAAAAATCTCTCTCACTAACCCCGGATAAAAGCACTCGATGCGCCGACACGGAACTAAGTCAAGTCGCACCGAATAGGATACGGCGCGGCACAGCAGGAGGACCACCGGTTTCCTTCGACACTACTCGCGCTCTGCTTCGTACTTGGGTACCGCGCTGCCGAGTTTCAGGCTCCGACGAGCACGATGCGCAACCTCAGAAAATTTATACCACCCGCCAGATTCCGCCCTCTCAGACCGTACGGGGTGGCCCGAAACTCAACCGTGCGAAACTCATTCGCGCACATTTTTCACGTTCGGAAAGGAGTGAATTTTTACGCGAGAAATGTCACTTTTACGGGAGAATTGTTCGATAAAAGCGTTAGTCAATTAAAAATTAATATTTTAAACAATTTTTACGAGTCTAAAAAAATATAAACTATTAGTTATATAGTTGATATTTCAAGGATAGCAAGGGTTAGTATGGACGATGATAGTTCCCGGCCCTGATTCAGTGAAACTTGTTACTTTATAGTCAGACACGCTTGTTGAGGAATGCAAATGAGATTCGTGATACAAACATGACATAATTTTCTATACTCGAATACTCACATCGAAGGAGGAAGAGATAAATATACGATAACAAATTATATATGTGTGCTCTACAAAAAAATATATCTCTAAATTTATATATAACGTCTATTTTAAATGATAAAAATTATTGTTTTATAAAATGCGGGAGAGAGACAGGTAAAAATTATATTTTAATGTCGCGGAATATCGTTAATCTTTTCGCATAATTTATTCGCGGAGCAATTTTGGTTAGCAACGAATTTTTATATTGTATTCTATACATTATATACGATGTGAACAGTTATGTGAACAGGGGAAGACGACTATACTTTAAATGTTATGTCGTGCTTGGGTCAATTAATTGGTCCGACCAAGCTAGTTAGTTTCATTACGTTATCTCCATCTTCGTGAGTTTCACACAATAGATGCCTCTTCCAATATCGGGGCCACTAGGTCTGCTCGTGTAAGAGAAGCTCTTTTTATTGTGTAACATGAAAAAACGGTTAAAATAAAAAACCCTCAATGTCGAGGCCAGATACCGATAACATTTTCCGCATACACGTTATTATATGTATAAATTACATACAATGACACTATAATGACAAAATGAGCAATGAAATATTATATTATCTTACAATGTGACTCAACAAACTGATTAAATACTTTGAAAATTTTGAAAATTATTTAGATTTATGTAGTTTTTTCGAATACTTTCTTTTTTTTTATAACACACGAAAGAGAGAAAAGAAAAAAAACAATAAAAATTTTTTTTATATATCTGCTTTTTTGCTTCCTCTGCTTTTTATTATATTAAAAAAATGTAGGAGATTTTCAAGATATATTTGTGATTATAATGTCAAAGAATTGTATGGAATTGATTTATCTAAAGGATAATGCATTATTATTAAATTTTGGTTATTACATACATTGTAAAGATAGTTACGTTGTTCTTATCTGTTTTTTTATTTACGTTTCTACAATATACAAAGTTACAATTGTAATTGCAATTTTATATTACGATATAATGCTAGAATTTGCGCGTGTTTGATTTTGATATAATCTTTCTCTTTAATATAAATACGAAAGGGATGACATACAATTTTATAATTTTAGGAAAATAGAGGCACAAGAAAAATTTTGAAAAAAAATTATTACATTGACATAGAATAAAATGCGCGTTTATATTTCTGTCGCGTGGATTACGCGAATCCGGCGTTTTCACAGAGTCATAATCGGCGGCATCGTTAATAGGTCGCCGTAAAGTGGCAAAGAATTGTCGGTCACCGTAAGTGCCGCGTGCCCTGATGAATCCGGCAGAGCCTCTAAAATGCGTCTGCCAACGCTCACGAGTTATTTTGTTATCGCGGCACGAACCAAATGACGGAGCTTAGTGCAAGGTTAGCCGGCGATGAGCGAAGGCGGCGATCCTGTCCGCGCGTTTTCCACGGCCGTAGGCGTAGCAGTTTAAGGACACGGTTACGTATTTTAACGTAAGTGTATCGAAACGATCGATCGCTCCCTGGGCGACCGTGAGCGACCGCGCGAAGCTGTTTTCCGCTCTCGCGATATATATATATATTTTTTTTTTTTCATTTAAATCAATGCAAATTAATGAAAAAACGCTAACATTTTTATGAACTCTACAATATTTACAAGTAAAAAATATCCCAATTATTCGTGAAAACGGCCGAACCGTTAAGATTTTTTTTTCTCTATATCTCGAAGACTTAAATTAAGTTTTAAACGAAAAATTCAATTACCGCCGGCATTAGTGTTATCCAAAGCGTACCACGTGGAAGTAGCACGGTTGGATTTACGCTTCTTTGTGTGTTGTGTATATATATATATATATGTGTGTATGTGCGTTCGTACGCGCACATACAGAAACGAGACCCCGCGATTCGTCACTCTCGCAGTATTTTACGACTCCAAACTATATATATATATATTGCTCGCGGAAATTTTTCGCGGGAAATTGTACGAGCCGAATAGCGTGCGTGGAATTTATACGGCGTGTATGACAAGGAAGATAACGTTAATGACTCTCGTTAATGACTTTAGAAATTTTGGAAACATCTAGAATGTCTCGAAAGAGAGGAGAGAGCTTTGGCTCGGATTTTACATTCATCGAGAAATATTAAGAATTTACCTTTCCTTGATAATTGATAAACTTAAAATAAATAAACTTAAACTTTAAATATCACAAAACTTTGAAATTAATAAAATTTACATGATGAATTTAGATGAACAATAATTAGCGTCGTTTAATCGCGTTTCAAAACTCTTCTACTCTCGCTTGTAAGATGAACTTTTGCCGGCTATTATCCTGATGGATTTGACACGACTCGCTGAAAACGAACGTAAATTGCAACTTCACCAAACATCCATCACCGTGACAACCTAGTGATATTTTTCTCACGCGCAAAACTGATTTAAATCTCCCTCACAATGACAAGAAATTAAATTACTGCCCGTGTAAATTAGCAATATGGTATCTCGGAGATATAAAATGCTTTATTGATTACTTCGACATACATTCTTAATTAAAAACACGGAATTCTATTGAAAATCAAACATTTTATTTTCAATTAATTGCGAAACGATAAATCAAAGGAGACCAATTACTTCTTTTAAACTCAGTTTTAATATTGTTTATAATTTTCCATTCTTCAATTAATTGAAGTCGAAAAATTCAAGATTTGCTCTCGTTATGCACATACTCATAATCAACTGCTTTATCAGGACGCGCCTGAAGCACTTAATTAAAATCTTTATGACTGCATTTTTATCGACAATTCTCGTGTGCGATATGCGTGTGTAATCACGCGAATATTTTTTAAATAACGCGATAACGCTTTATGTACTAGTCAGTAATTCCTCATTGTTGCTTGTATCTGTGATTTTACATCTAACGAAAAATAGGGAAACGCATATACGACGCATATATACACGTAATAAATAATAATCGCTTAATTTAAGAATAAATCACAGATTTATTATTATTGGATGTTTACACCAGTCAATAATAATCGTTAAATAGTTTTGCATACATAATGACAATAATATGTTTGCTAACAACTTAGGTTTGAGAAAAATCTTTTTTTTTTAATACTTTATTAAAATATACGTTGCCTGAAGCAATGTAAATTCTTGATTATAATTGTAGATTTTCGGAGTTTATTATCGTTCTTGTGAAATTTATGCGAAATTAGCAAGGTTGATCAAAGAATCCCGAAGCCCGACGTTGGTTATATATACATAAACGCACAGCGAAATAAATTGATAAGATTAATTGTGATCGACACGCCAACGCAGCTCGCAACGATTTCAAAGAATATCAAGAGCACGGAGTCAATGTAAACTATAGCTTGGTTTACAAAATTACATCGTATATTTGTATATAATATATATCGTATATAATATATCGATATATAATTGAAAAATTTTAATAGATAAATTAAAAATTATTGAAATATTCTTTTTAATTTGTGAGCGTTTATGCTGTCGATTGATTAAAATTACACAATAGTATTGCACAATAGCGTTACATCGAAGTTATAGATTAGATTACGCCGATACGAGATGAATGCAACTCGGAATATCCTTGGAGAGCAGTTTTGGAAACAAGGCAAATTTTGCCGCAATCCCTTTGGCCGATCTTAGGGCATTTCACCGGTCGATCGACGGAAGGGACACGGGGCAGAGGACGAGGGATAAGTAGGATAAATTGAGAAGATTAATCACAATCTCCACGTAGCTCGGGTTGCACTATTGTCCGACGAACTCGCGTCCACCCTCCTGAACTTCGAAACTGGGTTGCATAACGGTTTGTGTGCCAAAGCTATGTACGCTGTTACGCCAGCTAGTTAGCCTGGAATCGCAGCCACGGCAGCATCGAAATGCAAGCGTTGAACAGAGAAAATGCGCATTAATCCGATTCGCTTGCACGTGACGAGGCACTAGCGCGTGCATAGCGGTTAATGTATCGTACAGGAAAAAACTGTCGGAACGATGTATATCAGAGAAGCACGAACGATTGAAGAATTCATCGAGCGAATGTCGGTCGATTCTCTTTCATTCGTTTTTCATTCGCCCGTCGAGGAGTTCCGTGCGAATTGCGATCGTTACAGCTAATTTCAAAACTGATCAGATCAATCGAACAGTCACAGATCGATCGAACATCATCGCGATTTCTATATTTCTTTCCTTTTTTCATAATTCACGGATTTGCATGGCAAACGCGGAAAAAGGAACGCGATGGATCGGCGAGTAGAATAAATAAGTCCTGCGATTATCCTCCGCTGCGCTATTTTCGGTTGCAAAAAATTTCGGTTTGCGAGACGCCGACGATGGTAACTTGACGATTAATTTTCGTCAACGAAACGTTGTACAAATTTCGCTATCGCTGGAAAATCGCTGCTCTAAGCGTGTCTCGTCGCCGCCGTTCATTCATATTCGTCCGTCGGAAGAAACTCGCGGTGCAAATTATAATAGATTAACGGTGTGTAGATAAACCACGGTGTGTAGATACCGAGCCTTAATGAACGACACGATTAAAACTTTGCTGAGCACGATACAATTCCGCCACCCCCTTTCGG